TTTTTCTTCAAGGACCTGTCTTATTGTATCTTTTGTATATTTACTATTTTACTAGTTCTTCAGTACAGCAAAAGTATTTCTTATCTGATTGCTTTCACAAAGAAAGTTAATTCAGTTCAACTTTTATATCATAATGATGATTGAAATGGGTTGAACTGATTAACTGTCAGTTCAACCATCGAGCACCAACGACCACGAAGTCTGGAGCCTCACAAACACCTGACTGTGTGTAAATCTATCGAGCTTCAAGCAGTGGAGCAAACAACCAGAAGAAGCAGGATGAAGATGGGCAGAAAACAGGCCACTGAGTTCACACTGATGATCTCCACTCATCTATTAGTGATGAAGATGCTGAGAGGAGGAGGAGGAGGAGGAGGAGGAACCTGAACTGGATGTTTGCAGGATGAACAGAAACTGAAGGAATCGAGTCGTCGCTGGAGAAATACCCTCCCTCCTGAACCAGAGAGGCTGCTGGAAATTCAACCCTGATATTAGCACAAATATATATATGAACTGAACTGTGTGTTCAACAGGCTGGCACCAAGAGGTGGTGATTACAGGACTGTAGGAAAGACGGGTTTCCTGTCAGGCGACGCAAAAGAGGCCAATTAATTGTTCTACTACATTCAGCTCCATTAATATTTCATCAGTGACATTAGGTTTACATTATTTCCCTGATGACACGTGACAGGTTAAATGATTATTACATTACATCATAAATCTAGTGACTAATATTGTTTGCACACTTATCTACACTGTCAGACAGCTCAAACAGTGCCAGACACTAAATCAGTCAATCAGGAGTCTCGAACAGATCAGACCACATTCCTGCCGCTCTGAGTCCGTTAACCCTGCAGCAGCAGCAGCAGCAGCAGCGTCTTGGTTTACTCTCGTCCCGTTAGCTGGCAGCGAGGTGAAACACGCCGCTATCATCAAACACACCACACAAACCTGCAGGGTGACTTCTGTTCCACTACAACAAAAGATTAACTGACATGTTTTCTACTTAACAAATACACAACTTTAATAACTGGTTGTTCTGGACTCAGGAACGTGGCTGTGAACCAAATGTATGCAGGTAAACGTAGAGGCTTATCACCTCATGATCACATTAATAAAGCATATTTACACTTTGCCGGCACAGCACACAGACAAACTGACATGTCACACTAAACGTAAGAGTCAACCCATTGACTGAGTATCAGCAGAGCAGGAGCTCGTTAAGAGCTGTCAGTCTTGTTAACGCTGCAATTTAGCACACGTTAACTGAATGTCATTAGCCCCTTCTACACTGCCTCTTAAGACTGGGTACTAAAACCTGATATTAAACGAGCCTCAGGGCTAAACTATCGAAGGTCGTAGTGCTGATAAGCTCCGACGTCATCGGTACTTTTACACATTTTGTTTTAATTCATTATCAGCCTGTTTGTGAAAAGCAGAAAGGCTGCGGCGGAAACATTAAACACACATTAAACACACATTAAACACACATTAAACACACAGTAAACATGGCTTCATAGAGACAGTTTCAAACACAAATCAGCTTCACTATAAGTCGCAGCATTCACAGACAAACACTCAAGACCTCTCACACTTTAGGACATTGAAAGAGTCACAAAATTCTGCCAGAACAAATTCTTCTTCTCTGAACAACCAAGTTCACATCAGCTCGTTTATTTATCACAAAATAAATTAGGAAAAGCTGCCCAGGAGTTATAAAGAGCCTCATTTCTTCATCGTGTTTTGACGTATGACGAAGAAACTGAAAAATCGTGGCGCCCAGTAGCTCAGCGGGCCCTTTGCTGCAGGTCGTCCCCTCACTCTCTCCTGCTTTCACACTTGAACTGTCCAATCAAATAAAGGCAGAGAGCCAAAAGAAATAATCTGAGAAGAAACTGAAGACATCCTTTTAAAAAGGGACACCCTAACCAATAAGCAACCAGCACGAAGACCGCGTACACATGTGAAGACTCGACTCGCTCCTCTAATCTTTTCTGGGGTGTTCCTGCCACTCGTCTCTGAAAACCTGCCTTAAAGAAGTCATGGTCTTGGCGTCACGGCTGCCAGGCGGTCTAGATGCATACCTTGTACCTGCAACACGCAGGTTCAAACCTGAACAGAGACCTCCACCCTCAGACTTCCTATTTGTTGCTGTACTTTTCACTCGAATAGGACAAAGACAGAATTCCAGGTTTTTCCAGGATGCATGGGAGTTTCTGTTGTTTGAGGTGGCAGCTGATACTCAGACAGCTGCAGGTGGTGGAGATGCTGTGATAACCTTTGGATTAATCTTTTCACAGCGTGTTAGTGATGCAGAGACAGCTCAGCTGATGCAGACGCTACAGACCGCATGAGATATGTGGTAATTAGTATCAATAGTAGCAATTAATATGATTATAATTGTATTAATCACAATATCACTGGTACGCATGGTCTTCTGTTTCCATGTCACACAAAGTGGAAACCACGTCCATCCAGAACAATCAGCCACTGGTCCAGTTTTAGAGTCTCTGTACTGATGTGTGCTACCGACTGGTGCACTGTTTAGCACCAACAGGAAGTTCTCCATGAATACTTGGTTTAGTCTCATTTCACCTCTTCCAAATAGCAGAAGTGAGATTTACTGTGGAGCCCTGAAGGGGACACGAGAAAAGAAACGTTTCCACAAATGTTTCTCTGAACTTTCAAATTGGTTTCTGATTTGCACTTCATCGTTTTCATGCTCACTAGATTCCATGTTTTCCTCAGGGGAATACGTGAATCCTTGATTTATGGCCAAAAACATATTTTGTGAGGTCACACTGACCATTGACCGTCATCCGAAATCTAATTAATTCCTTCTTGAGTCCAAGTGGACGTTTGTGCCAAAATGAGGAAAGTCCTTCGAGGCTTTCTTGAGATACCACCTTCAAAAGAATGTGATAGACAAGCTCATCGTGACCTTTGTCCTTTGACCATCAAAATCTAATCAGATCATCCTTGACTCAAGGGGAGGCTTGTGCCAAATTTGAAAAAAATTACCTTAAAGAGTTCTTGAGATATTGGGTTCAAGAGAATGGGACGGGCGTATGTACGTGCGTACAGATGGACTAACAGACAACCTGAAAAAACATAATACCTGCAGCTGTGGCCAGAGGCATTATGTTTTCAGGTTGTCCTTAAGTCCAATATGATGTCACAGGGAAGGTGACCTTTGACCTTTTGGATACAAAATTTCTCCACTTCATAATTTTTATCCTGTTGGAAATTTGTGTCAAGTTTTGTCATAATTTGCGTATGAATTCTTGAGTTAGGGCCAGAAACATTGTGAGGTCACACTGACCTTTGACCACAAAATTCTAATCAGTTCACCCTTCAGTCCAAGTGAACGTTTGTGCCAAACTTGAAAAGATTTCTTTGAGGTGCTCTTGAGATGTCACATTCACAAGGATGGGATGTTTGGACGGATGGACAACTTGAAAACACAATGCCTGTGACCACGGCTACCGCCGGTGCACCTGAGGTCTGACACCTTGAACTACTTCTGGCACACACACACACAATCATCATCATCATCATCCTCCTCCTGCTGCTGCCACATGATATTCTTCGTCTTCTCAGGATTTCAGCAGCTTCCTCCAGTTTTTCTTCCAGATGTTGCTGCTGCTGCTGCTGTTTGCATTGTGTGTTTGCCCCAGACGGTCACACCAACACACCATCACACTTTACGACCTCTCGCCCGGCTGCGACGGCTCAAACAAACACGAGGACGCAGCTGCAGCCACGATGGCTGACTCTGTCCTGCAGATCTACAAAGGTGACGGGGTCGGAGAGGTCGGCAGGAGCTGTTAAACATCATCAGTTTACTGACATACTTTCTTCAGGACTTCAAGACACAAGTTTGTCTTCAGGACTTCAAGACACAAGTTTGTCTTCAGGACTTCGAGACAGAAGTTTGTCTTCAGGACTTTAAGACAGAAGTTTGTCTTCAGGACTTTGAGACACAAGTTTGTCTTCAGGACTTTAAGACACAAGTTTGTCTTCAGGACTTTAAGACACAAGTTTGTCTTCAGGACTTTGAGACACAAGTTTGTCTTCAGGACTTTGAGACACAAGTTTGTCTTCAGGACATTAAGACAGTTTTTGAATTGAGATGACATTGTACCGTAATGTAACTGCTGATTTTCTCACCTCGTACACAACCCGTCCTTCTCCTGCTGATGTCCTACGTTCTCCAACCACAAACCAGCTTCAAACCACACCTTCCTAACACTGATGGAAACTACAGTTTGTAGCGCTGCCTGGTTCCCTTACACTTACATTAGCAGTCTGCTGCACCCTCAGCAGTGTCATCAGATGGGAACAGATGGGAACTAGAATCATTCACGGCCTCCCTGTCGAAACAGACTGTCTGATGGAAACAAAGCTATAAAATACCCTCAATATAACGTACGCTCACTCTGTTTTAGATATTTTTAGGCGTGTAAAACATTTTTTGTTTCCGACCCCTCCACAGCAGAACATGCTTTGTCTCTGTGTCAGACTCCAGCCAGCTTCTCCAAACTGGGGGCGTCGACCAACATCTACTGTAGGTAATACGCTGAGTATGGATAAATACCCTCACACAGCTCCACCTAAAAATCCGATCTTTCCCTTTAACTATGACATGTTTAGAAATATCATTAAAACGGAGCATACGGCATCATTACAAATGCATCTTACAGGCATCTGTCTTCCCTCTGATGTCATTTACACCGCATATATTGGATGAGAAATTAAAGCTTGAATGAATTTGTGTTTCCTCCATGTTAAAACTGAGTCTGCCTTTATTTAGGCATCACGGCAGCTGAACTGAGGCCATTACTAAACTTTTTCAACAACTTCTCAACGTCTTGTTTTCCAGGAATGTGGGACCATCTTGTCAATTTTCCAGGACTTTCCAGAGCTCCAGCATTTTTCCCGGCTCTGTGTGTGTGTGTGTGAGACCATTTGTTAAGTGCACCAGAGAGAGGCGATCGTACCTATGAGAGCCTGGAAGAGGTTGCTCTGGAAGATGTCGATGACCCTCTGGATGGAGTGTCGGAGCTGCCGGTCCTCGGCGTGGTGCAGCTTGGCCCGGTACTCCTCCAGCAGCAGCAGGGCTCGCTGTGCGTCTTAAAGACAGGAGGAGGAAGCAAGCAGAGGTGAGGCGGGGATACAGCAGGGAGCAGTCTCTGCTGCTGGTTCACTCTGAGCCTCAGCGGCTAATGAGAACTGATTGGAGACACGAAGGTGGCAGAGCGCAGCTTCAGCTCTGCAGACCAACGTCACACTGGTCTGAATGAACAGCTGCTGCAATAATCTCTCAGTACATGTCATATTTTTAATAAACACAAGAAATTCAAGACTGCCGGAAGGTTTCAGGTCAGTATAGACGGAGTTTGAGGCCTTTAACAGATGATTGTAAAGGTCAGTGTATCAGAGGGAAGCATCAGGTCAGATTTGTGTTTATAGAGCATCAAAACGTCTGATTCTGCAGCTCAAGAAACAAAACCTGACTCAACATTAACTACAGGAAATTAAATAAAATGCATATGTTGATTTCAAAGAGTAATAGAGGACATTTGAGTTTTTAAGGACCTGGAAAGACAATCAGAAGTAGAGATGTAGATTAAGTTGGAACCAGTGGCCGAAATCAACTTTCTGACTCACCGACCAGGGGGACTAGTGGATGAAAAAATCCACTGGCCGAGCATATTTTCTACCAGCCAAAAACTTCAGTATCTAATTATCTAAAAATGCTGCTGTAGAGTAACTTCATGATGATCCCAGATTATTTTGGGGTTTGCAACTTGATTTGAGTTTTAAAATGTAGAAATGAACGGGACATTGCGATGATTTTAGTCTCTAATTATAAAAAATGCTGCAGTGAAGCACCACGTGATGACAAATATTCAACGAAGGAAAACCAAACAAACAGAAATTTTCTCACTTTAAACAACCATTGTTGCCATTCGAGTATAAAGCACTGGGTTTACAAGGCGCACCTGAATGCACCATAAAGTCCTTGTCACTGTGTGAGGGTGAAACCCGTCCCCGACACAGAGGACAGAAGCAGTGCGACCAGAGACGACACAAAAACTCCAACATTTACATGTATGTACAGCGGCTGTTAATTCAGACCCTGACTGGAACTGAGCATAATTTTTATTATAAATCAATCTGCTGATTATTTAGTCCATAAAATATCCGTCTCTGATCACGGAGCCAGAGGTGATTCTTCAAACAGACAAAACACATTAAATATTCAGTTTACTGTAATTAAAAAAAAAAAAAACAGAGAGAAAATTAAAATATTTCAGGAGCTGGAACCAGAGACCTCTAACAAATGACTTAAAGCGAGTTATTGATTATCAGAATGTTTTCTCTTTGATACTCCCCTGCTGATCGACTCACTGAATAAAGGTCAGTGTTTCAGACTCTGAGGGAAGCATCAGGTCAGATTTGGGTTTATTAGCCTCTACAAGCGTCTGTTTCTGAAGCATGAAGCTGTAAATTGGGACCAAAACTAAACTGAAAGAACACCGAGGAAAGTTAATCAGGATCTGTTAAATACACGTCTGAGACTTCTGACTGACTTTCAAGACCCAATGCTATCAATTTAAGACTTTTAAGGACTTTAAGGAACACGCAGCAATGGGCACGTTGTTGCAAACCAAGGTCCCATTCATACGACAACGATTTCAACCGAAAACAGTAAACTTTAGCTACGTTTTGGCTGATTGTTTACACGACGGCGGCGCTTTGGGTGCCTGATAATGTTTTGAAAATGTGAGTGCAATTTTTTTGGAAACGGCACCGTCTCTGTTTTCATGTAAACTTTCAAGATGCAGTTCCTCTGAAAACGGAGACTTCGCACATGCTCATTACGGTTCCAGTCACGAGGCATGCGCGAGAAAGTCGACCATCACAACAACAATGGCACACTCCCGAGCTCTGTTTGTGCTGCTCAGCCTGTTGGATTTATCAAAAGTATGGATTTACTGCAACAACTCCACAACTCCACCTCGTGGTGAGTCCCGACAAACGTTCGTGCGGTTGCCATTTTGTGTTTATACATCACGGTTCTGTAGAAGGAAGCGCATGTGCACAGGCGCGTGTTGTTTTATTGTCAGATAAGAAAATGACACTCTACTGTTTATTACAAGCAAAACACACTGTAGCCAGATTCTGGAGTCACACCGCCAACTATATCTCCTGGCAGGTATACTACAGCGTTTACGGTCATTTTTGTAGATCAGTGTGCACGGAGGTTGTTATCATAACGTTGTCATCTGAGCGCTGAACTTTTTTCAAAATGAAAATGAGAAACGATTCTGTTTTCAGCGGATCGTTTTCATGTAAACACGGCCTAATACTCTACTTTAACTGCCAGGGGTAGTATCAGCACGTCATCAGCGTCAGCCAATATCGCCTTTAAAGTGAGTGTGTGTTTAAAATGATTGTGTGAAAATTAACAGCAACCTTTTCCGATCCAGTTGGTTATGTCTGTGACACTGCGTAGGTAATCCACGGAGGATCACGGTGACAAATAATTTCATTACACACAACAAAATTCCACAACTTCTCTAAAACTTTTAGTAATTGTTACTAATTCCATGACTTTTCCAGGCCTGGAAATTGAGGATGGGAAATTCTATGACTAACAAGTTTTCCATGACCGTGGGAACCCTGTATGTCAGTGATACTCAACTTGCGCCCTGTGGGCCGAATCTGGCCGGGTGGCCCTCCAACCATTTTCTAATTGACAATAAAAATAAACTGATGAACTGTGAATTATTTTTGCAAAATAAAAGTGGTACTGAACGAATCCCTGCACTCCAACAAAGGTCCTAGCTGAGCCCCGAATGTCCTCAAATCCTTAAAATGCCTCTGCACCTCTGTGAGCGCTGCAGGGAGCTGGAAGATGGTATCAGGACACGTTTCAAACTCGCAGCATTATCACATTTTATATCATGATAAATATAAATAACGATCAATACAGGGAAGATAATAAGATTTTTTGCCATATCCCCGAGACCTATCTTGGGCTGTTCAATCCACATATTTGCTCCACTGTGAACTTTTACTCAATAACAGCACTAATATTTTTGCACAATCGGCACAAAGCTGTGCAGCTTATTCTGAAACATCTACATTATATTTATTTGTCTCTTGTTAATATATGAAATAAAATATAAATGTTTTATCCAAAAATAAAAAGAATAAAATACATTTTTTAAAGGGGAAAATGACAGGAAATATGAAAGATTTTTTTAATCTATTCTCCAGCTCCTTTTGTCCTTTACAAGCTGAACATGCCACAGAACAGAACAGAACAGAACTTTATTTATCCCTGAAGGGAAATTCAGCTGTTCATCAGCTCATAAAAGACAAAAAAAACAACCACACTTCCTCTCAACAACAACAACACAGTGGTGTTAAAGTACACATAAGATAAAATACGTTAAAAAATAAGTGCACAAATAGAAACTAAATTTAAATATGTTAAAACTGAATTTTAAAAAATGCAATATTAAATAATAACAGTAACAATACAATTACATACAGTCTATGCAGCAGAATACGGACGGTTTCCAGCATACTAAAATAATTGTAAATATAAACTCTTAGTGATGAAGATCCAAGTATCTTACTCATATTTTTATTGTAGCTTTTCTCTTCTGTATTCATGTTCACGAGTGTTGCTTATTTTATTCCTCTTGATACATTTAACGTGTGCTCCAAAATCTCATTTATGTACAATATATCACAGCTAAATTGTGTGTCCCAGTGAAAGACCTGCAGTGATACTATGCGACTGAAATAATATTACTGTTAACTCACTACTGACACGTTTGAATGATTTAGGGACTGTTCTTTATTTATCAGAGGAGAGGGCTGACTTTGTTTTTTCTCTCGACCCTCCACAAAGCTACAAATCTTCTCCTTGAGCCTCCCTGAGTGACTCGAGGGAGATGTACGACCCTCCCTCAGCCATAACTAACCATATTCTTTATAGTCACACCAAATGGGGACGCTGGAGCCGAAGCATCGAGCAAACAGCACCAGGGTGAGAAACTCACACTCACTCACACACACACACACACACACACACACACTACAGCGTGCACACAGCTGGCTTTAGCAACATGTATATATAACAACCGCTTTCCCAAATATACGTCCACCACAGTGACAAAATCAGCTGACCAGACGGCTGTTTAAAAACTTTCCATTTAACGTTTGAAAGTTTAAAGTTGAAAATCAAATCTAGACTTGAAACTACTGACACACCGAGCCGACAGTCGGCCAGCAGCTGATGTTGGGGCGTCATGAGCATCTGTCGCCCTGTCGGTGCGGCGTGTTCATCAGCTTTTTTTTTGGCCGATTCAACATGTTGAATAAGGTCAGACTCATTTTCTCTTCAGCAGAAACGTTTCCTGATGGTTTGTGTTATTGTTCACTGGCGCATGGTAAATATGCTCCGACTGGGTTGTTAATGTGCTAACTGGCTAACTTGCATTTAGATGCTCTTCCTGTTTCCCTTTTTGAATGATGAATACAGACGACCGCCATCTGCTGCTGTGGAGAGTTATTCCCTCTCTCGCGTTGGCTGTTGGCTTCACCGTGGATATATCAAGAGAACTGGACACAGCGACGAACGCAGGACCTCGTTCGTTCCTGTGAAAGCTGCTCAATGACGCATGAAGCCACAATGGTTCAACTGCCTCGTATAAAATCACCCAGATGATCTGTGGACCTACAGTCCTCATCAGGGTCCATCAGTGGACCAACAGTCCTCCTCAGGGTCCATCAGTGGACCAACAGCCCTCATCAGGGTCCATCAGTGGACCAACAGTCCTCATCAGGGTCCATCAGTGGACCAACAGTCCTCATCAGGGTCCATCAGTGGACTAGTCTCCTGCATGTTTCTGATATGAATGTAATGATTAACTGATATATTTTGGTGGTTTGAGTTGAAGGTGTGAGAAAGAATAGTATCAGTAACATTGTTAACACTGTGCTACATTACAGAGAAATACAAACCGTACTAATGAACCTTCATTAATATAGGCCTATATTTTATCTCCAAGTGCACGTCACACACTGAGCGAGCCGCCTGTTAATGACGCTGTGGGCTAATGGGCATGTAGCTACTTCCATGTTTCACATGATACGTCATGTTTGTAGTCGACCAATGAAGATGAGTTTACATATCACCTTGGGTTCGTCCTTCACCTTCTCAAAATGATCCCACACTTTAGATTTCCTGCCCGACATGTTATTAACTAGCCTGTGGAATAACCGCAGGTACCAGCCCTGGAAATTAACCTGACGAGGACACTTCCTGTGTCTGTCCTTTCAAAGTAAAGTCACATATGCTCCAGTCATATAGGTTTGAATTTATTCTGACAAGGTGCAGCTCCTGATAGAGTTTCATGTTTGTTTATTTGTTGTTTTTTCTGTGACTAAGTGATCAATTAAATCTTGCCAACTAATGACCTTCCTGGTCGGCTTAAGGTCCTGACACACCAAGCCGACGGTCAGCCGTCGACCAAAGTCAGGTCGTCTGTGAGCGTCTGTCGGCCTAGTTTTTGCAGTGTGTCCCGCACCGTCTGCACTTTGGCGTTGGCGGCTTTTCAGCCGATTGAGCATGTTGAATCAGCAGTGGAGCTTGTCGGTGAGAGAGATCACTCTGATTGGCTGTTCAGGTTTTATTTCCTTGCCCCTGTAGCGAGTGAATCTGCCTGTAGTGAAACCGGGGCTAACCGGTGCTTCCTCCTCAGGCTCCACTTCACTCAGCTGCCCCACAGACCCGCTGCTTCTTCACACTTTAACCTGAATAACAAACCGGAGCTAGCTGGGAGCGGCTAGCGGAGCGTTAGCCGCAGCATGACCGGAGGGAAGCACAGCCAGTTAGCCTCCGCTAGTCTCTGAGCTAGCCCCGGCTCTCCGTTTGGATCCAACCGGAGCACCGAGCCCTGGTTTGTTATTCAGGTTAAAGTGGGAAGAAGCAGCGGGTTTATCGGGCAGCTGAGTGAAGTGGAGCCTGTGGAGGAAACACCGGGACCGTCTGGATGTAATAGTCCATGGAGGTGCTGCGGTGCTCGGCTGCACAGATAGGAAACCCCTCGGCTGACAGGATGTACCACTCTCTCACTCCGCTCTCTCTCACGCAGGCGCAGAACGTACGTGCTACTTGGCCGTCGGATGTAGTCCGTGTAGTGTGTTCAAATGCAACTGACACAGGGCGACGTAGATGAGGCAACAGTTGGCTTCTGTCGCCTCTAGTTCTTTGATGCCGGTTTGGTGTGTCCGCACCTTTAGGTTTGGTCGATTGTCAGGGTGCAGCCCTGGTTGTTTGTGTTGAGTGGCTCTAACTGAGACAGAAAGAAAAGCAGAAACTAGCAGCCCGCCCCGGCGAAACCGGATGTGCGTTACTGCCCTTGTGCACAGAGCCAGTGAAAAAAGCCACAAAAAAATCCCAACTATCCCTTTAAAGTTCGGTCCCTCCTCTCAGCCATAATAAAAATCACAAGTCCCTGCCCAGTGCTTAAAAAAATGTGCCATGCCTTCCCCTCTGTGCACCACCTCCTTCCTCCTGACAAGTAACGAACAGTCCCTTAGGATTTTTTTAAGGATACAAGTATCAGTACACAAGTTAATTAGTATCACAAATGAGTAAGAATATTTTTTTATATTTTTCCTAAAGTTAACCTACTTAAAGAAAGCTGTTGAGTGTGTTGTAAATATTTTATTGATATTGGAGTTTATTTTTAGTTGGGCTCGTCTCCAGACAAGGTGCCCCATATACAACTTGGTTAGCAACAGCGGCTAACCGGCTAGCCCTACTTTAACTCACTTTACCTGCCCGGCACGGCACGGCCCGGTGAGGCCGGGATAAGCCGTGCGGGCTGTGTTAATGTCGAGTTGTATCCGTGTTACTGTGTGTTTGTTCCAGTGTTTCTTTCCACGGAGCTGCAGTTTGAGTTTCTCCCAGCAGGCAGCGGTTAGCCGTGCTAGCTTGCTAGTTAATATGTTTAAGTGAGAGCGGCTTACCTTTCTTTCTGACTGGCATGGTCGGGTCTGGCTCGGCTCGGCTCGGTTTGGAGCTACTTGTGTGTTAGCCTCATACACTCCTCACACAGGACGGCTTTTTGTTTATTGATTATTCCGCCAGTTAAACCCCGCTGTCACTGCTCCAAGTCTGGAGAAAATCCCTCCACGACGACACCAAGTTGCCCTCCGAGCCAAAACACTCCGACAAACAAACTAACTGTCAGGGGACAACTGACACGTCCAGCGAAAATAACAACGCCAAATCTCCGGGGGACACTGCTGCAAAAACACGCAGCAGTCCCGGTTCAAAGTAGTGTCACAAGGAGCGAGCAGGATCCAGAGGGGGAAAAAACAGCTCCGGATCCGTTACCGACTCTCCGTGCTGTACTTCCCCGCCAGAGAGGCTCCCTGCCCCGGCGTGCACCGCGCAGACTGGCCGCTGGTGGCGACACACGGCTGTGTTAGAAAAAAAAGTGGAAATCTAGCTTTGACCGAGTGGGACCTGCCGAGTGCCAAACTCCCCGTGAAAAGCAGTTTCCAGAGCAGGCTGAGTGCCAGGCGGTGCATGCATGAGCTGACCGCTGTGCTGCTGCGGTGCAGGGAAGTAACCAGCTCCGGAGCTTTGATGCTTATTCCAGATATTAAAAAAAACAACTTCAAAGTCCAGCCTGGTGGCACACCTAAACTCAAGCCGTGCCAAACCCGGACTGATTTATCCCGCACTGGCACGCACACTTTATACGTCCCGGGCTATTATTCCCAGCACAGCCTGCATTCGTGTCAAACTTCTCTCAGTGTAAATCCCTCCTCTCCTCTCCTTTCCTTCCACTTCCTCTTTATTCCTCCTCTTTTCTTCTTCTTCTCCTCCTTCCTCCTCTTCCTCCTCCACCTCCCCAGGTCTACAAATTCCAAACTTTCCTCCAAAATGGCGTCTCACGGAGCTGCAAATGTGAACCATGTGATTTCCAAAAGCCTACCCCTCCAACCTGCCGCCCAATCATGCAGCTCACCTACAAGGACCGAGGAGGAGGAGGAGGAGGAGGGTCAGGGTGGAGGAAGGGACAAAAGTTTGGGATTGGGAGAAAGGGAAGGTGAAAGTCTGGGGAAAGAGAGAGGAAAAGGAGGGGACTGTAAGGTCTGAAGAGAGCAAAGAGAGGAGAAGAAAAACTCAAGGATGGAGAGGAGAGACAATGATGAAGAGGAGGAGGAGGATGTAAAAGATGAAGAAAAAAGCAGGTTAATTGTGATTAAAACTAATTATCTGCAGATTGTGAGCTACATATATCTGAGATACAAAAATCCCTATCCTTACCTACCTTAGCTGATAAACACAAGACGGGCCTGATGGACGGCTCCCAGACCTCCTCAGAAATTAAGAGACTGAGGTGAAATTTATGTTTCGTGCACCTCCCCAGAAATTTAACTCCACAGTGTCACAGTGACGCAGACCTCCTGTCTGTCTCTGTGAGCTGAAACCATTTCCCTCAGTGGAAACAAAGCTTTGATTTACTTTAATTTCACAGATAAGAAACAATAAATTGTGAAGACAATAAAGCCTCCACACACTGTGTGTGATTTATCCTGGCTGAAATATGAGCAGAGGAAATCTCTGCTAGCTGCTAGGCT